TGAAAAAGCCCATCCCATAAAGTCTCAGGCTGTATGATTCCATTTGCATAACATCCTTGAAATGACAAAATTATAGAAACAGAGAACGGATAACAGGTTAGTGGCTGCTGTGGGTTAAGGACAGGGCGTGCGCAGTAGGGAGGTGGGTGTGGTATGAAAGGGCAACATGGGAAGATCCCGGGGTGATGGAAGTATTCTGCATTCGACTATATCAGTGTCAACACCCTGGTAGGGATATATTGTACTATCGTTTTGCCAAGACGCTACCATTGGGGGTAAAGGCTACATAGGATCTCTCTGTATTATTTCTTATAACTACATGCCAATCTGCAATTGTCTCAAGATGAATAGTTTAACAAACGAATTGCCAGCATATAAAAATCAGGAAGATCGGCTTTAGGTCTTTAAAAGTCAGAGGATGGGGCAATGCTGGTCTTACATTTCTATATGGTAACAGTCTTGTGTCCCCACACGTACACCTGGCCACCTTCCCACATCTGTATTACCTGACAGACTCTCCCCTATACCTTAAGTCCTGCATATGGGTCTCTGTGTAAGATCCTGTTTGACAAGAGGGGCCCCCTGCTAACATATTTGAAAACCACTGGTCCAAACTTGCCTAATACCAAGAAGAAGCCAAGGCCCAAACACATCACATGAATAGCCTAAAGCCACACGGAAACTCAGAGCAGAACCACGATCTAAGTGCCAGGCATCCCCTGCTACTGCCTCTCCTAGGTTGGGGAGAAGGGGCAATGACGGCAGAAGCCCAGGCCCTGCGGTGGAGCCCACATACCCCTGCAGACAGCACCACAGGTGGCAACAATGGACCAGCCCATAGAGACCACCCAGGACACAGAAGCGGCCAGTTTGCCCAGCCAGGCCCAAGCCTTTTTCATCAATGCTCCGTGACAGGGTCAGGAACAGTCCTGGAGAATCGGCGAGCGTAGTGAGTCTGCTCTGCTTGGAGCTCTTGGGAAATTCACAGCTAGCCAAAGAGAGCAGCAAGAAGAGGGAGGAAGAGAAGAGACGGGAGGAGACTGGAGAGTGGGTGAAAGAGAAAGGGAGGGAGGTCCCAGGACACAAACGAGGGCTGCTCAGGTGACCCCAGGGCTGTCCTGGTCTGTCCAGTTGTGAATTTTGAACTTGCTAGGCTGGCAGAACACCAAAGACTGAAAATCCACGAAACTCTCGCTACCAGCCCTGAGCTGCGCCAGCACCAGGAGAGTCTGCCCGTGAGCCGGGACAGAGCTGAGCGTGCACAGGGATGAAGGAGGACACCGACATGCCCAGGGAGGCTGCAGGGGGAGGAGGGGAAACCGGTGAGTCCTGGTGCTCTGTTAGAAGTGGGGGTGGGGTGGAGAGGAAACAGAACCTTGGACGGTTGCACGTCGGAGAAGGGACTTCAGAGGGTTTTTACATTGTTTGCGGATGCACTGTTGTACAACGCAACCCTCACCTTCAGCTCCTCTGGGAACTGGTCACTAAAATCAACATTTTTCCTTAATGCTTGGGGACCAGGAAGAGATGCGGAGTTCTTTACTGAGGTGAGCATTATGTAGACACAGAGACTGAATGTGTAGACAGCGGCACCACAAGGTGGGGGCCAGGAGATGCCTGAGTTACACGCCGGGGCCCTCCAGGATGGTTACGCCCAAGCAGTGGGATTCAGATACCTTGCAGATTCAAGCCCTGCCTAGGATGAAGCTAGGCTTGCCTGTATTCCCACCCCTGTCAGGGCCGCCCAACGTGGACCGAAACTTCTGAGCCATCTGGGCCCTGGAACGCCTTCCGGAAGTCAGACAGAAGCCGCGGTGACCTCTCTGAGATTAGAGGCTCAGCTTTGGATGGGGTTCTGCTACTTCAGGTGAAGGCTGGGAGCCATCTTGTACCCATGTTGAACCTGGCAGTAGGCTGGTGTTTAAGCCCACCTGGACAGTTTGCTAAGGTGCTGGGTCTTTCCTGGGAGGTGAGCCAAGTCTGCACTGATGCCTTGACTGTTCAGGGCCTCCCCTGCCTCCCTTGTAAAGATAGAGTCCCTGGAGATTAGGCCAGCAGGTGGGTACTAGAGCCTCGGAGGGAAGCTACTTGCTACTAGATACAGAGACAGCGTCACAGTGCCAGGAGCCAGGGCCGGAGAGGAGGGGAGGGGAGGGCAGGGCAGGGCTGAGCTGCTCTGGGACTCTGCAGGGGCAGGCCTCGGAGGTGGAGCAGTGACAGGTGAGGGGCAAGTTTGCAGGGTCCTCTAACTTGCAGATTACTACTGCCCTTGAGGCCACCAGTGCCCTTCCTGGTACAGAACACCTGGCATCCCTGCCAGCTTTCCCAGCACACAGCAACAGGAAGGAAAAAGCGCCCCAGCAGATGTATAAGCCTGTATAGGCTGCCACAGTGCCCAGGTTGCTGGGCACTGGGTTTGGCAAACTCAGGCCGTGCCGGAGTGAGCTACCTGGAAGCAGGGTGCACTGAAGCCTCTCTGGGGAGGTGCGGCCTTCGTGAGAGACCCTCAGATTCCCCACCGCGAGTCAGGCTAAACCGGGAGGGGGAAGGGCAGAGGCCGTGTCTGCCCTCAGCCAAAAAGATGGATCTGAGGGTGCAGATTCCAACTTGGAGGGGGGACAGATATCAGTGGGGCTCAGATCCCCAGGGAGCAAGATCCCTAACCAGCCTGGGCCCAGGGCGGGGGTAAGTGTGTTCCCTTCTGTTCAGATGGCCACTCGGATGAGTCTGTGACCCCACCCGTGACCAGTGGCCAGTTGCTACTTCGGGCATTAATCACAAACAGAACTGAACCACTGGACCCACTGGACCCCCCACCTCTCACTTCTGGGCCACAGGCTGCTTGGGATTCAGGGAAATAAAAACACCTACCTTCCTCCTGTGGCCATGGAAAGAATGGGCATTTTAGGAGAGGCCATGAAGACAGCCTTCCAGAAATTAAAGTCAGAAAAAAAGAAGGGCAGCAGGCTTAGGCCCCTCCAGTCCTGGGCAGAAGGCTTGCTGGTTGCCTCAGAGCCTACACTGCAGGGCCAGAGACCCCAGAGGGAGGGGCTGACAGTGGCACAGGACCTTGGCGGGGTGGGGTGGGGGAGCTGCTTTCTCAGGATGGGGGCCTGAACGGAGGGAGGGAGCAGGCTAGAGTTTCTTCTCGGCGCCCCCTTTCCAGCTCTCCCTCCAGCAAAACCTGCAGGGGCTGGGGGAGAGACTCCAAGACCTGCGGCAGAGTTTTCAAGACCCCCTGCCTTCTGCTGGGATCTGAATGGAGCTAGTGGGCAGTTAGGCCCCGGGGGGAGAGGGCCTACAGGACCAGGCCGAACAAGCCCCAAGAGATGCTTTTGAAAGGAGGGAAAGGGAAGGCCAACGCCAAGGCCTGCAGACCACCCTTGATACTGCCTTTTGTGTTCTCACTCAATAACTTCACAGAGCCTGCAAATATTCCAGGGAAAATATGGAAGACAAAGGTTCCCTGTAATCTACCTCCACCAGTACCCTTCCACCTTCTAAACAGTGTCTGGTTACTGAGATGCGAACTTAGAGTGACGGGTGGGAGAAACATAAAGTAACCAGAAGGACTGAGAGTGGGTGACGGCGGCTGGAAAAAAAAGTGCAGAGGCCCCTGCTGGCTTCCTGATGGAAGGGACCTGGAGATCTCTAAGCGGTTTGCTATGGGGTATGTACTGTAAAGCCCCTCCATCAAATCTTCAGTAAAGACTACATTGCCCACTGGAGCATCTCTGTGAGTGGCTCCGAAGAGGAGGTGAGACAAACACAGAAATGGCGCAGGAGCAGAGGAGCACAGGATGGGGAGAGCCGACAGCTTAGTCACGCCTCCTATAGCTCCATACTACCATTTGCACTAAATCAAACACCATCGCATTTCAGGCTTTTTACAGACACGCTGCAGGCACCGACACGTTAAGAACCACCACTGGAACCGCATGCCACTATTAGCAGGCCAGGGAGGACCACACTTCCGGATTGGATGCCCTGGCCAAAGAGTGGGAGCCACTTCAGTTGGCAGCAATAGAGGTTCAAAAAGAAAATCCACATCAACTCAAGCTGACCCCAGAGTCCCACTCTCCACACAGTCCTGTGGCCACCACACACTGGTTAGCAAGAACAGAAAGCTTGGCCCAGGGTGGAAAGGCACCTCTGGGCCCCAGCCCCTCACACGGAGGCCATCACAGGATGTGCTGGCCCAAGGCAGACTCTCCCAGGAAGGACATGCAGATGACACATTTGCTTCCAGAAGTGTAAGCACAATCACACTGGGCCTCATGCCTCCCCATGGAAGGCCCTGGCGGGTTCCAATGGGTTCCAGGGCAGTGTGCCCCCATCATGCACAGGGCCATGAGCACCTGACAGGCCAAAGGTGTCAGGCCGGTGGCTGGGGCCTCAGGCCTGCCACCATCGGGGAGACCATACTCCGAGACACCTAGCCCTGCACAAGCCACTCCTCATACCCAGGGCTTTGCTTCCTTGCAGCAGCTGTGGTGCTTTGAGCAATTTGTGGAACTGATACCTCAACATGGGTATGGAGAGTTGAGTCCAAGGGTCAGTCACCCCCGCCCAGCATGGCCCTCTGCGTGCCTGCTTCCCAGTGCCTACCCTTCAGACTCACAGGGGACAGGCCCTGAGATGAGTGGGCAGGCCAGGCAGCCTGCCCGGTGCCTCACAGGGAGAGATGCCCTCATTCTCAACAGCCCAGCAAAGGCCAAAGCAGCCCTGCCCGCTGCCCAGGGACAGAGCCGGGAGAGCCCAGAGTCCTCGTTCGTGCAGCCCGGGCCCAGGGGATAGAGACTCAGCTCCAGGCACCCACCTCACTGACCCGGGATGCACGCCCCAAGCCAGCATCTGCCGGAGCCCTTCAGGGGTCGGGAGTTTCCAAATGCATTAACTTGAGACGTTCCTTCCATGAGTCGTTTGACCTAGGGGCTGCCCTGGGAGGGAGGGGATCAGAACGGGCAAAAAGGCCACAGAGCCTGAGTCCAGGCACTTACCTTGACCTTCGCAAAGCTTCCTCATCAGGGTCTTGCACTGTGGGCAGAAGTTGCAGGTCAGGAGGCATCACAGGGAACATCAGGAAGAAAAGCTACTAGAGCTCGGTGGGCACGGAGTCCCCACCCATGATGGGACAGTTATTGCTCCCTACCTGTGACCTCTGGAGAGAAAAGGCTGTGTGCTGGGCACAGGGCAGGGGGAGAAAGGGGGCATGAGAGGAAGAGGCGCAGGTGGGAGGGAGCAGCCAGAGGCGTGGCCTGCAAAGTCCTCCCATCCCAATCCGGAAAGCACCACAGCCAGTCCGCTGCCCACCGCTGGAGTCCAGGAGCCCAGCAGCAGGCTGATGTCACTGTGCCTGCCCCAGGGACCCAGAAGGGGCGCAGCAGGCTGCTAACTATCTATCGAGGCCAGCTCATCTTCAAGGGTGGGGGGCTCGACTCCCCGGCTTCCGTGGGACTGTGGAGTAGGGCCCAGGACCCTCGCTGGCCCTTCATCGTCGCCCCTTCCTGCCACCCCACAGCCCTCCCTTACTATATTCTGTCCCCGTCATCTGGGCCAGGATGCGGAAGGAGCGAGACTGCAGGCTGGAGGAGCGGCGGGCCCAGTCGTCAGCCTCGTCTTCCGGCTTGTTCTGGTTCTTAATCACAGCCTGATACACAGGAGAGGTGCTGTCTACGGTGAGGTCTTTGACAGGAAGGCTCCTGAAATGCAGAGAGAGGCCATGGGCAAGGGCAGGGCTGGAAGCCTGCCCCCGACCTCTGCACCTCCCCCTGGTGCACCCCCCGTGCATGTGGGTAACCCCTACTTGTCTGGATCCACCATGCCCTTCTGAGAGCCTGAAACAAGGGCTTGACCTGGGTCCTCAGTGCTCAGGGTGGTCACAGCGAGACAGTGAATTCCGCTCACGGAGGGTCAGGAGGCTCAGACCCTCCTGCCAGTACCCCCTCCCCCAGGCTAACTCTAGACACAGGCCTGAAGACACCCGCCCCCAGGAGCTGTATCTCCTTTAAGGAAAGAAGAGGCAGAAGAGGTCTTCTGGAAGTAATTTCAACCTCCCTGAGCAGGTCCTGAGTTTGGGGCTGGGTGAGGACAGCCCATTTGGGGGACTCAGAGGCTTCCTCATGGTCAGTCCCTTGGCCTCCTCAAAGCTTGGGATCCAAACAGGGAGCCCCCAATGGCATGACTGCCCTGGAGGAGGACTGTGGGCTCCCACTCTACAAAGACAGGGAAGCTCGGTGAGGAGGCGGTTGGAGAAACAAGGCAATCAGGCCCCTAAAGCCTGGCATCACCCACGGATAGCGCAGTTTCTCGCCCGAGGGAACTGGGTGTAGTGCTGCAGGGAGGGTCACTAGTCCTCTGCCCCAGGGCAGCACAGCTTTTTGAGGGGGACCTGGTGACCTTCCCTTAGACTCCCAAGGTCTGGCACATGGTAGGTGCTCAAAACGTAGTTGAATGAACAAATCCTAGATCAGAATCAGAAGGGACCCCAGAGCCCCTTGAGTCCAGGGTCTCTCAGCCCAGATCAGACTTCAGGGCAAGATACATTAAAAGCTTTATGGATGACCACTCATCCCAACCAGGGAGGGCTGGGTAATCTAGGCTGCCCAGCCGGCCCTCTCAGCAGTCAGGGTGGGCTCAGGAGAAGCTCACAGCAATAACAGCCTGTCTCCCCAGCCTGTGGACCGGTGGCCCAGCCACCTCCTCTTACACATGCCAAAACTGAGGTCCAGAGAGGCTAGCCGACTAGCTCCAGGTTACGTCACGTAGGGGCCCCACTGAGTTAGAACCCAGGCTTCCCAGCTCCCAGCTCAGCATCCTTTCCATCAGACCCTCTGCAGTGACAGGGCTCATGAAGGCTACTTCTGCCCACTGGGGACTTGCACACCCCAGATGTTCCACATCTGGAGACATGGCCCAGCACAGACACTCCCCCTGTCCAGCATCGCCCTGCCTGCTGCTATGACTGCCTCTACCTGCCCTTGCTCCCTCGAGGGCTGGCTAGCTGGAGAAGGGACCTCCCCAGTGCCCCTGTCTTCTACCCTCTCTGCAAGGAGCTGGACAGAAGAATTGGCCTAGTCTCTCAGGATTGGTCCCCTAAGTCAGCTCAGGGTGGGCTATGAGAGCAGAGGTGGAGAAAGGTGATGGAAGGCGACTCACCAAGGTTGGGTGGAGCTACCCCTACTTTCCTCAAGGCTTCGCCCTGGCCTGGAAAGCTACAGGCCTGTCAGCCTGTGGCTGGGATCAGATAGGGAAGACCAGGGGGTGGATGAGAGGCTGGGATCTCGCTGGAGAGGTCGTTTCTGGCATAGGGAGGAGCCTTAAGGGGTCCTGAAGCCGATGGAAGGCACTGGCTGCCACTTCCCTGGAACATGCCCTTGAGGTGCTCCCTGTTCCTTCCACATCTCCAAGGGCTCAAGAAAGTAAACCCCAGGAGTGAGTCCCTTGGGAGTCACATTGTTGACTTCCCTTCCCACAATGCTGTGCAAAGACCAGGGACTTGCGGTGCTGTCGCAACAGACACCGGGAACCAGACGAAGGAACTGCTGTGCCTTTTGAGAATCTGGGGCTCAGGAAGAATATATACAGAGAGGGGATAGAACAGGCCCTCCAGTTCTGGGACCCTGGGTCCGAGCCCACTCTCTGGAGCCACTCCAGCATGAACTTCTTGCCAACAAAAACACTCCATGGTCCCCGCAACATCAAGGTCACCGGTGGGCATTTACTCCACTGTACACTGCCCCCAAGTCTGACTCATCTTTCGTCTCTTATGGGTGGTCCTGGCAGGCGCTGGGTCCTCCAGATCCATCTTCCATGAGGATTTGGAGAATGGCCTCCAACAGACCCCCTTAGCATCCTCTCCCTGAATAATGGCCCCATGTGGATTCTGACATTAAGATCTATGCTGTCCCAGTGTAGACAAGAAAGGCTGGGGGGAGCCCCCGCAAAGCACAGCAAGGAGAACACGGGATACACCCCCAGCCAGTGTGGTGTCATTACTCTGATTTCTATGTCCATAGTGACATTATTTGGCGAAAACCCCAAAAGACAAGCACTTGCCTGTAGAGGCCGCGGGGCATGTCATTTACCTGTGAGGTGGGTGTGAGGAGGAACGTGGACAGAACCACTGTCCTCAGGCACGTCCCACCAAACCCACACACCATCCCGCAACCAGACAGACGGACGACGGAACAGATACTGTGGGGTCTACTTACGCCAGCGGTGACGCCCTGCCAAGCAGAGGAAAACCCAGCAGTGAGTGCATGTCCATCATGGGAGGGCGGGGGGAGGCGCATACACAAGGGAGCAGGGTTAGGATCAGAAATGAGTTATGGGGGAGTGGGGTGGATAAAGGAGGAAGAGAGAGAGAGACAAAAAGAAAACTGTCAGTGAGGAAGGAATCATGGAAATTAACAGCAGAAATGGAACACCTCATGGTAGACAAGGGCAGCGTTTACCCACTGGCACCACGACAGCATCAACCCAGCAGGGCTGAGTTAGAAGGAAAAGGAAGAATGTTGCTTCCCAGGCACGCAAGGGAGGGGAAAAGGATGGGAGGGGAGGGGAAAGGAAGGAGAAGCCTAGATTAGATCAACAGTGCATCATGTTAAAAAAATATATCATGGGGGGCCTAGAGGTAAAACCAAATGATTTGTAGTCTTTTCCCAAGGTGCAGAAAACATAAAGTTAGTGAACAGCAGTTCTTCCATTATCTTCCATTGTGCTTCCCTTTCCAATGTTACAGTTGTGGAGCACAGGCTCCAGACGCGCAGGCTCAGCGGCCATGGCTCACGGGCTCAGCCGCTTCGCGGCATGTGGGATCTTCCCGGACCAGGGCACGAACCCGTGTCCCCTGCATCGGCAGGCGGACTCTCAACCACTGCGCCACCAGGGAAGCCCGATGTTACCACTTTTAAGAGCACACCAAGGACACACGTGGCAAACATGTTAACAGGAAACCCCCGTTAACTCTTTGGCTTAATCAGGCAGCCCTGTCTTCCTGGGTACACACGAGCAACAGTTGTGTTTTTAAACTTGCATGGTCATATTTTCTGCTTTGAACGATGGGATTAAGTAAGTCAACCCTGCCCAGAGAATTCTGCAAAGAACTGCAGACCTGAGCCTGGCGGGTTTGACTCACGGCTCCAGGGCAAGCAACCATCCACCCCCTGGTGGCTCGAAGAAAGTACTGCGTGCCTGAGAGGGCCAGGCTCCTTTTGACCAGGAGCGCCAGTAAGTCCACACCACGTTCCATCCTTTGGCCTCTGGAACCTGCACTTTATAACCTGCACACTCGTCATGGCCACGAGGGCTGGGCTCTACAAAGGCCAAATGCTATAGGAGTTCTCCGGGACTTTTGAACGCCTCTATCCCTCTTACAACATCTGTTTTTCCTAGTTTTGGAAAAAAGGACAACCATCATTTTAAGATTTCTTGCCTTCAGTTGCTAGAGATTCTGACTCAGGGATAAGATGTTACCACAGAGATAATCAGTTCTGAAAGCCAATACTAACAGTATTTCCAAGTAGAATACAGTAAGGGACTCTGTGTGTGTGTGTGTGTGTGTGTGTGTGTGTGTGTGTGAAAGGAAGGAAGAGACACACAGAAACAGAAAAAGAGACAGAGAGATAGAGACAGAAAGAGAGACATACACGGTAAGAAAGAAATACGGAGAAGAAACAGAGACTAAGAGAAACAGAGACAGAAAGAAATTCTGAGAGGGAGAGAGGTCCACATTAATGTCTGTACTATTACCCGTTTCATCCACAAATGATTTGCATCCAACTATTTCCCTACTCAACCCTCAAGTTCTTCAACCATTGCTAACAAGCAAAGTCAGGAACCAAGGATGTCCTAAATCCCACTGCCCTGAGGCTGGGCTTCCCTGGGGCAAACAGGAGGAGGTGAGTGCTGGGTGCCTGCCCCCCCACCCCCGGCTCTGTGGCGGGGCTGACTGTCAACAGCACTGTGGATGGCTGGTCCGGAGGCCCCTTCCCAAACAAGAAACCCACTCGTGAATCTGAATTGCCCTCATCATTGGAAGAACACAGCAACTTCCCCCCAAAGAATGGCTTAGTTGTGAGGAGCTGAGGTATCCAGAATGTGACCCCGGTTAACAGGATTCCGGAAGTCTCTTTGTAAACCAGCCCCCTCATGGAGCCTGGGAAAATGCAGAGGCTGTGAAAAGCACATGCTGCATTTCTCCACCCTTCTCCTAAAGCTGACCATGAGATTGACTCTGAAGAGAGAACACCATGTTCTGGGAGGCCCCGGGCGAAGGCTGGCTCTCCTGCAAGGGCTGTACCCTGGGAGGATCAAGACGATGGAGGACAGCTGGTCCCGAAGCCCAAAGTCTCCGATGGCGCCCAGTGGCCCGGTGCCCTCCTCGGTGATGACGAGGCGGAGGCATCGAGCGCCAGTGGAGGAGGGGAGGCGCTTACCCACTGAAGTCACTGCCCTGGGCCTGGGCCTGCCCGGCGATGGCGTCCATGATGGCGTCCTGGGAGTACATGCTGATGGGCGTGTTGTACTGCGCGTGGATGATGGTGGCCTTGCCACCCAGCCCCTTCACCTCGATGGGCTTGTGGGTCGACAGGGCCGAGTCCTTCAGGGCGCTGGGGTTGAAGCGTTCCTGGTAGTCGGCGCTGGGGGAGGGGAGCATGGGGCAGGAGAGCAAGGGAGGGAGGTGGAAGGAGAGAAGGGGCAACAGGTGGTGTTACACGGCTCAAGGTGAGGGCTGGTGGTGTAGGGTGTGGAGAGAGACCTCCCTAAGCCTGATCCCAGGAAGGTTCCCCAAGTCCCCCCGACCGACGTGGGCGGGCTGGGTCTGGTTGGAAAAATCCTCTCACCCTCCCCAGAGCCCTTTGCGGAAGGTTCTTCTTGCCAGTCTCCGCTTTCCCAGATCCCTGGAGCCCCCGGCTCAGCCTGAGCTACCGCCCAGCGTCAGCAGGGGGCGCCAGGCATTGAAAGCTCTCTCACCACGCCCGCAGGGAAGCGGAAACGGAAGGGGGTGCGGAGTGGCGGTTGGGATTAGGAGACAGGAGCTGGGCCACGCGTGAGAGGCGGCGGCAGCCCAAGCGGAGTCCAGAGCGCCCAAAGGCAAAAAGCAGCCCCACTGGGCACCCACAGGGATTCTGAGCTTCGTTCCTCCACGAAGGGACTCATCCTGGGTGGCCCGGGGCTCTGCTCCTCCAGACTCTTCAGTGCATATGTGCTCAGGCGCCCCCCGCCCCCTCCAAGTCCAACTTGCTGGGTGGCCCACCAGCTTCTACCCATGGAGGCTTTTCCCTTCAACAGTCAAGCGTGCTCCCCAGGCAAAGACAAGGTCAGATACAGCCCTTCTGAGTGGTCCGGCCGGGCTAGAAATGTCTTCAGGCTCTCCCAGAACCGGCGTCAGCACGCACTCCACCCACCGCCCACCGGAGCCAGCCTGCGGTTTAAGCAGCTGCAGCAGCTAATTGGGAACACAATGGTCTGGGGCATCTGCCGGAGCCCCAGCGCCCCTCCCCACTGCCTCCACTCCATACTCTCAGCTCCACACACATGCAGGCTCACTCAGGGACACAAATGCATCCCCATTCACGCATGCACATACACGTACACATGCCGCTGACACAGACGCACGCTGCTCAGTTCCCCAGACACGCGGTCGCATGCTGGGATATGCAGGCAAGCACACACACGTGCTTTCCTTTGATACTAACTTGGCTGGAGAGTTGGCTACCACCTGGGGGTGGGGAAGAGAAAAAGCAAAGAAAACAGGGCTATCAGAGTGAGGGTCCTGCCAGAGGGTTTGTGTGTAGGGACCTAGGGATGGTCCTCAGTCTGGCCATTGTGGAGGCAGAGGCAGCCCAGACTGGCACTGGGTGAGGAGAGTGCAGAGTGAGGAGGGGAAGGGCTCTGAGTCCCGATCACAGCCGCTCAGTTTGGGTCAGAGATGCCAGCTGCAGCGTAGGTCCACAGTACCTGAAGTTTTGCCAGGGAGAAAGGTTTTTTTGTCCATCTTCATAGGTGCTCATTTACCATGTACATGAATCTCCTACATACACCTTGTCTGTAGACCCCGGCGAGGAAGCTGGAGATGGAGACCGGACTAGCGATGGCTGCTCCAGGAACGGCCAAGGCCCCAGGTGCCTCCTGGCCGGACAATAGCTCTGGACTTACCCTTGTTTAATGGGGGACAGCTCCAGGAGTTCTGTTCCCTGAGCAGGAGTTGCAGTGGTGCTGGGGTTTGTGTGCAGTGGGGTTTCACACAGCCCCGGGAGCATGCTCTCTTTCCTAGAGGAGGGTCAGGCAGCCCTGGACACTCCTCCCGGGGCACAGTAGTAAGGGGTCTGTGCAGTTCCCAGTAACTGCCCTTAAAGGCCCTGTGGATGGGCAGTGAGGCAGGATGGAAGAGTGAGGAGACTTGGGAGAAGTGCAGGTCCTGTATTGCAGGAAAAACCCCGCACAAGGCAGCCCAGCTTGGACACTACAAGAGGGACCCCACCCTCACTGTTATGTGAGAGCCAGCCTCCTGGAGTATCATCTCCTTGAGGGAGGCATTGCCTGCATTATGTTTCTTTCAATGCAAATTCCTTGCAGTGGCGGACCCTTGTCAGAAACCTGAGGGGGGAAGAGGGCAGAAAGTGGTGTCCCTTTCTCCACACCCTGCCACCTTCCCATATCTGACCACTCTGGGCTCTGGCTGGGAGAGCCTGGGCCTCAGCTGGCCTGGCCCTGGTCACCCCTTGGCCATGACCCTGGGGATCCAGACCAAAGCCAGGGAGACCCCCCACCCCCACCCCCACCAGTCCCAGGCGGCCCAACTCTGTCTCAGGGCTGATAAAATTCCCTCTGTCCTCCCAGGCTCAAAATAGCTGTAAGTGGAGCTATGTTAGGAAAGGGCCATCACAGATCTCCAATTCCTTCTCCATTTTTGGCCAATGCTGACAACTGCAGGATCAGCTCTTGCCCTGACCAGCCCAGTGCCCCCTGTAGAGGGCAGTGCTGGCCTCAGGGGCTGCCTATGCCCTTCCCTGCCTAGGTAGCCAGCTCCTTCTTTGGCATTGATTCCTGCCCCCTGCTTAGCTTCTGCCTGAGGACCTGGAGGCTGAGATGCCTGCAACAGACAGAGCTCAGAGAGGGGCAGCCAGGTCTTGGGGAGAATGAGACAAAGAGATAAAAACGCCCCGGGGGCCCTCGCGCCAACTGGCCTGAGGGACACTGCCCTTCGGTACCAGGCCCAGAGAGGACAAGGATCAGGGGGCTGCAGGCCCGGCTGTTCTTTCACCCCCTCTGTTCCTCTCCACTCCTCCAAAGGGCATACAAGCTGCCAAGAGATCACCTTGAAGCTACCCAGAGAGAGAGAGTATGGGAAGGAGCTTCCTTTTGCAGCCAGACAGGACAGAGTTCAAATCCTGACCCTGCCTCTTCCTAGAGCTGTGACTCTGGACAAGTTACCCACCTGTCTTAGCCTCAGTCTCCTCATTCATAATACCCAGAGGGTGGTGCCCCCCACAGACTGAACAGAATCCTGAGTGTAAAGCCCTCGGCATGGGTTAAGTGTGCGATGAACAGACATGGGGAGTAGCATTTGCCAACCCTGTCTCCTGTGAGGTGGTGGCCTCAGCCCTCGGCTAGCCCAGGTCAGAGGCTCTGCCCTTCCTCCTGGGACCACAGCATCAGCCTTCACTTTGAATGAAGCACACACCATATTCCCTCCCTAGCCCATCTTCCCTTTGAAGAAACTGTTGGACCCTGCTGCTCTGAGTGTCAAGTAATAATCTAACACTTGTCAGGTTCTGAGCAGCCCTTGTGCCAATGGGAGGGCTTGTCGGGAGTCGGGAGAAACAGGGGTGGGACAGGCAGGTAGGTCCCTGGCTCCATGCAGGGAGAAGTCAGACTGACCTGAGTGCCAGTCCTATCTGCCACTCGTTAACTGTGTGACCTTGGGCAAATTACTTGCTCTCTCTGGGTTTCTATTTCCCAGCTATAAAATGAGGGAATGATGCCACCCCTCTGAAGTTGCTGAGAGAGTTGTGTTAGATAAAGCATATGGACTGTTAACCAGCCCCCAGCCTCGACTGAGGCCTCCGTGAGGGAAGACCTTACCATCACTGCAGGTGGGCCCCATGGAAGTCCAGGTCCACCAGAGCGTGACCTCCCTGCTGGGGGCCAGGCCCAAAGAGAACCAGGAAGAGCTATCAGCCCACCCAAGGCAGGAGAAAGAGTCCATTTCTACTCTGTCTTTCCCTGAGCTTTCTGGCAGAAGCCCCTTGCTGGAAAAAGCCTGGGGGTAGAAAGCTTTGCCATCTTGGGCCAGGGAAGCCAGGGTCCAAGTGCTCACACCGTAGAGCGCCCAGCTTCACTCGGGATCCCAGAAAGAGCTATGGGATCTGGGGGAGCTGGGGATTCCCAGGGGAGCAGTGAACGGGCGGAGCACAGATACAGTGTGTGGCTAGGTCAAAGGAAGGGTGTGGGCTTGGATCACACCGACCTGGACTAAAATGCTGACTCATCTATGTGCCTGTTGTGTGAGTCCAGGCAGTGATGGCAGGTAGCACGTAGTGAGTGTGCCAGAACAGAGCTCAGCACTATGCATGTGTTACCTCCTTCAATCCTCCCCATAATCCTGAGATACGGACAGTCTCATGGAAGAGTCCTGAACCCCTAGCCACTGGGCCATATGCCTTGACTCAGCCTGCTTTGCCTCCAGCCCAGAGACGTTTATACCAGTTGCATATGGGGCTATGGAAGAAGTTACAATGAGATAACCCTCAGCCCCTCCGCAATGCCCACCCTGGCTCTGGCTCTAGGTTCTTTTAACTCCTGTGCTCCAAGAGTACCATTAGCTAGACTTCGGGGAGCAGGGCGTGGCCTGCTGTTCTCCTGCAGGGCCCCTTTCTCCTCAGGGTCCTGCTCCCTTGCTTCCCCACCCTAGCCAGGGTCAGTCCTGCCAACCCACTCCCCTCACCCCTTGCCCAGTCTCTCTGTACCCAGCTCGGGTGCTCCCTCCTCCAGGCAGCCTTCCTAGACCACTGCCAGACCTAGAGAACTTGCTCTCCCACCTCTCAGGACTCCCAAAGGGGTGGCAACCAGCCTGTCCCTTTGCCCCAGAGTTCCTGGAGGTATTAGGCTTTGTCCTGTCTTGGTGGGTGACCTGATGTGAAAGTTTTGGGAGTCAGAGTCTCTTGTATTCAGGCCCAGCTTGGCCACTTAGTAGCTGGACAGCTGGACCTCGACTTAACCTTCTCTGAGCCTCAGTTTCCCTCTCTGCAAAATCCGACACATAGCCCCAGGTTGTGTAAAGCAATGATGGGCCCGGCTCATGGCAAATGTCAATAGGATGATTGATTTCACTGCTCTTAGCCTGCACTGCCTCATGGGCTTGGGGCTGGCCAGAATGAGGCCAGTTCCTCACTCTGACTACCTGACCAGGCCTCTACGAGCACTGAGGACCCAGATGGCCCCTGACAACCAGTGGAGAGCTGTGAGCCCGTTACCTACCCTCCTAGGAGTCCAGCACCTGAGGCCTTCCCTCGGAGGCTCATCTGATACATCTGAGCCATCTCCCTCAGGGTCTCTGCCGAGTACAGGCCAACGGGGTTGTTATACTGCCTTGGCTGGCTCGAACCCCACGGGGTTTTCGGGCTTAGAGAGTCGAGGGCCCCCTCCAGGCTGACCTTGGCCCCCGGGCTGCCCCATGGAGGGCCAGCGTCAGAGGCCTCCGTGTGTGAGGAGAAGACGGAGGTCTGAGAGAAGGAGGAGCTAAAGGTCTGCCCGAGCTCCAGGTTGCCTGGGGTGCCCAGGATGGCCCTCGCCTCGGGGTTGGGGCTGGGTGCTGCCAGGCTGCTGTTCGTGTCCAGAGCAGGGTCCTGGCCCGGGGCAGCACCATGCAGGGGAGAGAGAAGAGAGCAGTTAGAGGCCACGCCCATCCCAGCGCTTCTGCGTGAACCTGAAACAGAGGGGTTAGTGTGAGCGCCTAGCAGCCCACCACCCTGGAACCTGCAGCCTACTGCACCGAGGTCAGGGTAGGGGGATAGAAAGGACACCTGGAAGAGAAGGGTTTTGTCAAAAAGAGCGGGGTGAAGCTCCTGGCCCTGAAGCTGTCATCCACCTGGACAAAATGCAAAGCCCCACACAGAAAGCTAGGCCAAGCCAGCCTGCCGGCAGGGCTGGAGAAAAGGTGGTGTGGTCTCAGGGAATTGTGGGGAGACCCCTCCATCCTACACCTGTTCCCCCTTCCCCTGAATGGGGGCACCTGGTGAGCACAGCCCTGCCTCCTGCTCTGCTGACCCCACTCTGCAATGCCCCACATGGCCGGTGAGAGGGGGCCTTCTGGGCTGGTGGTGAACAGGCAGAGTAGAGGTGCAGAGGGGAAACTGAGGAAGGAGGGGGGCTGACATTTGCTTCCCCCAGTCTGCCTCTGCAGCTTCTCCCCAACAGCTCTCTGCCCACTTCCTCAATCTGTCACCCACCCCAGACCCCCGTCATCTTCTTGTCCCCTCTCCCCACCCTGCCCATCACCCACTCTGCCCCACTGGACAGACAGGGTCAGTATGAGGTCCTGCAAGGAGGTGTGGAGAGCGGCGGGAGTGTGTAGTCCTGTAGGAGCGGTGGGGTAGGCCTCCCATGCTCTGGGTCCCTCAGGGTTGAGCTGCTTAGAGGGACCTGGGAAGGGGCCTGGTACCTGCTGGCTGCACCAGCACTTCTGAGTGTGGTATAGGAGCGTGCCACTGGGAGGAGAAAGGGAAACGGGAGGGAGAGAGCCTGTGACACAGGAGAAACCCTGAGGGCCAGCAGGCCCCCCATGCCTGGGAGCACCTCCTGGGGTGACCAGCTCAAACTTGGGCCTCGGCTTTCATGCCACAGTCACCCCCCTCCCCAGTGCCCTCAGGAGGATGAGGGTCAAAGCCTTCTGGACACTTGTCCCTAATTGGCTGGGAGAATGGTCCCTTTCCTGAAAACACCGCTGCCTAAGTGGATTTCCTGTTAGCCCGCCCATGAGCCCAGGGTGTTGGCTAAGCACCCAGGCGGGCACCCCTACATGCAGCATTTTATGGGGCTTGAACGCTTCTCCCCAGGGGGTCTGCGCCACCTCCCCGGCATCAGCCGAGGCAGGGCAGGGCTGGGGCCGGGCTGATCCCCCCACCTTGCCAGAGTCAGGCCAGCCGAGGGTCAGGCAGGCAGACCAGGGGCTGCACTCCGGGAACCACGGCCCAGAGTGGAGCCTGCCACCCACAGTCAGCACCTACCTTTTGGTGGGGGATCACAGGCAGAGGGGACTGGATCGGGGGCGCTGCCGTGGAGATGAGAATGGGACGCTTTGACCTGGAAAAACCAGAAATGAAGACAGTTGCCATTGGGTCCAGGAGCTCCTGCCTGAGAAGGACTGGAGAGGGGAGAACATCCAGAACCCAGGGAGCCAGGGCAGAGGACCTGGGTGTCCCCTGGGCCTGACCAGCATGGAGAAGTCACGGCTCTGGGGTACTTTGCAGCCACGGGCCTCTGCTAGGTTTCAGGGAGGCTGCCTGTGCACAGAGGAAGCAGGGAAGACCCTGGCTTCCGGGCCCGGCTGCCCACATACCAGCAGCACCGTTATCCACCCTCTCTGAGCCTCATCTGTAAAGTAAGGCACAGACATGGCAGGTGCCTGATGACTTGGGCCTGTCCTTCTTGTCCAGAGGCTGTCCTCACTTCCCTGTGCGGTCCGGTAGTACAAGGCTGGGTCCATGCTGGACAGCTCCTCTCCCAGGCCCTTGGTGCCCACACCCAACCTCTGCCCCCTGCTCTGGAGAGCTCCCACCTACTTCTGCAGCGTGAGACTCAGGTTGTAGCTGGCAGACTTGATCTTGTTCTGGGCCTCCAGGTGGGTCATGGTATCTGTGTTGACGCCGTCAATGGCCACCACAAGGTCACCAGGGCTGAGCTGGGACTGGGCGGCCTTGCTGCCCGGTGTGATCTGAGAGGGTAGCAGATGGGAGGTGAACATAAGAAGGGTGACCTGAGGATGGGCCTGTCCTCAGGGAAGAATCACCAGGGATCATCCAGTAGAGGCTTGCCATTTTGTCTTTCATTCACTATGACCACCAAGCCTGCTTCCTTTTCCTGGCACAGAGCTACCACATTTCTTGGTGTTTTGTATCTGAGTGCAGCCATGAGACTAGCTCTGAAATCAATGCACACCACTTCCAGGCCTGCCTCTAGCAACCATCTTGCCATCCTGCACACTCTCTGTTTGTCAGCTGCCTGGATGCAGAGGACCCAGAGGAGGACAGCCAAGCCACTGTCTGCAAGGGACCTGGATCATGGAGTCACTGCTTGGAGGAGAGATGACTAAGGAGCACCGAATTGGATGTTGCATGAATGAGAAATAAACTTCCACTGTGCTAAGAGAACTGGGAGTTGTTTGTTACACCAGTTAGCCTACTATAACATCTGCACCTTGAAAACCCATGGCACACTTTCCAGGCTCCAGAAGAATTCAGCAGCTGCTAAGACTCAGCACCACCATAGAGGTGCTGCCAGGCCAGCAGGCAGGCCAAATGTACCCTCACAAAAGCATCCTAGTGTAAGTGTGTCGTACTCTACTGTGGCAGGTGTGCAGAGAGGGCTGGCAGAGCTGTCAGGCCTGCTTGTGGGAGCAAGGTCAGCTGGGACATGGAGCTCAGTGCTCTGTGGTTGGCTTCATATTTCCCAAAGGGGAGGTGCAGATGTGGAGGCCAGTTCCCAAATCTTGCACTCTAGTGACATTACAGAATGCTAGAGTCTGGGGGCCCTACCCTCAGTGTGATCACACAGAATGCCATGGATATGCCACCCCACCAACCCCCCATGCAATGTCCGGAAGACCACACTCCCAGGGACCACACTCCCAGTGACATGCACAATGCCAAATTCTGCATGTCCAGCCCCCAGTAATAGCACCATGAATGCCATGGTGGCCTCCTATGCAGTGACATCCCATGAAATGCAAAATTCTGGAAGGCCTAGTGCCATCACCTAAAATAGCTTGTGGGCCGGCCCCTAGTGACATTACGTGGAGTGTGGTGAAGCTTCACCCCTAAAGGCGTCTCATGGGATGTCGTGGAGACTTTGGCTGCACCCCCTCCTGACATCACATAGAATGATTTTATAACCTGACCCCCACGACATAATGTGGAAGCACGCTGTGACATCACATGGGGTGCCGGGCAGGGCTTGCCTCCAGTGACATCATAGGAAAGAGGAGCCCCTGGGAGTCACCCCCCACCGAGCTGCACCTAGAGGGTGTCCCTTGGCTTTTCCTCCCCAACATGCCCACCAGCCAGTCCTCCTGGCTTCTCTGGGCACATCCCAGTCACCTTCCTGGCTATACCCCAAGGACAAGGCTGGCTCCTAATGCTGGCAGAAGCCATTTTCTGGCCCAGGCTTGAGGACCATCCTAGAAGGAGCCCAAAGAGGTCCTGGGGACAGTCCCATACCCTGGGTGCCAGGCCTCGGTGGGCCTCTGGCCAGATTCTGGCCTCTCAGACATGGATGGAAACTTCCTGCCAGGCCCCTCGGAGGGAACTCTCATCGTAACCAGAGCCCTGCAGTCACCAGCCTCCGGCCCATTCCCAGATAGGCTCTACAGGGTGGGCCAGGAACCATGTGTGTTAACCCAGTGATTATAGCAAGACCAGGAGAACTCTTGCCAGTTGCCGTTGACCCGCCATTTCAGACCCAGGAACTGTGGTACCTTCTTAAACACTGGCCACCTTGTGCCCTGAGCAGCCTCCCCACCGCCCCTGGAATCTGCTGGGATGAGGCCAGGACAATAGAGAAACAAATGCCTTGATTGTCAGGAAGCCACATTGTCCGGTTTGCCAAGTCCCGCCTACTCTCCAGGCTTCCATAGGGGCATCTTGGAAGCGCTCGGGCCATCTCAAAACACACGTCGCCTTTATCCCCAAATCAATGGCCGTACAGAGCCTCTACTAGTGACAGGAGTGTGTTGTTTCCTTTGATTTAAGCGGTTAAGCAAAGGGTAAAAAACGACAACAAAGAAAAGCAAAACATTTTCTAGGCTGAGAGGGGACTCCTGAGGGCAAACTGAGTTGCCCAGCCAGGCCTGTCCTGCAAGAAAATCACCTTTCCCTACACCTTCTAGCTTCACGTTCAGGCCTCTGCTCTTCCGGGTATTTTATTATAGACACCTTCAAACACAGTAAGGCAGGACTAATGCTACGGGGAGCACCCGAATACCCACCACCGAGGTTCTACTGCAGCATTTCACTCAACTTGCTGGTCAAGTGTCCATCCCTCTCTCCATCCATCAATCCATATTATGTTTCAAGCATTTCAGAGAAAGTAGCAGACGCCAGTATGCTTCCATTCAGGGTGAATTGCACAATGCCTCTGCTGTCTTAGTGGACTGCCCACAGGGTTTCCCCACAGCAGGACACCCCCATGCCAGGGCTTCCCGACCCAGGGCTCCCCCAGATGCTTCTAAGCAACCACAGAGAAGGGGGCCATCAGCCTGCAGCAGGGAGCTCCCAGGCAGGGCAGCCACAGACCCCAGACAGAGGGGAGGACCTCATGCCTGCAGAGGTGATGCCTGCCAGGCAGGACCTGAGCTGTGTCCAGGAGATCATGGGTTAAGTGTGAACAAGGACACCAGAATGACATCCAAGAGAGGCTGGGGCCAGATCAGCTAGGGCAAACCACGGGGCCATCTGGAATGCCCTCCCTTCCAAGCTGCCTTGAGGACTTATTTCTCCCTCAGGCATGGGTTAGCTAACATCGTACCTTCCCACAGGGCTCCCACCTTCCCCTTGCCGGGCCCTGGCTGGCTCCCCTTCACCCTCAGGTATAGACTGAGATGATCCTTTTCCCAGGGAAGAGCCCAGTCTCCCCCAGGCTTGGTCAACAGCCAAACCCCCTGAGGAATTTGCCACCAAGCTGGCTGCAGCCTGCCCCTGGCGCCTCTCCTTGCACCTGTGTGTGCTCGTCAGGGCTCAGCTGGCCTGACCTTTGGCTACCCTGAGCAGGGTTCAAGACCCCTCAGGCTGGTGGGGTGGAGGATGCTATAATCCTCTTGTAGGGAGGTGCTCTGCTAGTTCTGCCCAGGTCTCCCTAGAGAAGGAGGCAGGGACTCTAAGGAAGTTGCCCCTCAGCTCTGGCCAAGGGCCGTCAGATCCCTCCTCCCTCTGCAGGAGCAGCCTGCCTGGCAGAAGGGTGCGGCCACCCTTGAACGCTTGCCCAGAGCCCAGGGCTTGTGAAGAGTGCGGTCCAGGTGTGAGGTACCCATGTACCTCTTGTCTGACTCCCTAGCCCCCTCCCTCTGCTTTCCTTGACCCAGAAAAGACCCAAAGCTCCTAAATCCTTGGAGGATTTCTTTTTCTTTAAAGTCTTTCTAGCCCCTCTGTAGCATTTGAAAAATTCTTTGTAATGATTGTTTCATTCCCATTTCACTTTTCACCTTTTCTAGTCACCAGCCACCTCTCAACAGGGAACCCAGCCATGGGCAGAGCTCCAGGACCGAGGTCCTGTCTCGGAAGCCCCTAAGGCAGAGGCTCTAGGTGCTTGGGGGCCAAGATCGCCACCTAGCCCACCCTCCTTGCTGGGCCATGGTCTAGGGCACCCCAGAGGGGGCACAGGGGTAGCCGGTGCCAGGGAGCAGCTGTGGGCCCCGTGACCTTCGGGTGCCTTGGGGGTAAGCAGTAGAGCAAAGACCATGGGCTGTAGTCTGAGCCAGATCTGAGGTTGCAGTGCCAGCCTCCATGACCTCTACGTAAAGACAGCAGTGATGCCTTTCTCCCGGGATTGTGGAGAGGATTTCATCATTAAATAGGGCATTATACAAAGACAGTGCAGAGCTGAGACAATTTCAGGGAAGCTCCCAACCGAGGAGGTGCAAGTGCTGTCCCTGACCCCTTCCCCTGGGAGGTGCCAGGGGTTGGAGGCTGGGAGGCTGCAGCCCCTGCCTCCAGAGGACACAAGATCGGGGGCTGGCAGAGGGTGGTGTGCGAAGGGTCAGCCCTGACCCATCGGTCCTGAGCCAGCCTCCTGTCCCTAGAGGGGCCTGAGCATCAGCTGGAGGGGAGAGAAGTTCTGTCCAGGGTCCCAGGGAAGCAAGGCACCGGCTGGGGCTCAGGCACACCCACGCCCTTGGCTCCTATTTCCCCGGCTCCCTGGCAGCAGAGGGGGCCACTGGGCTCCGCAGAAGGTCCCGGCCATCACTCCTAGTGCTTAAAGCCAGACAGGTCCCTGACTTCCTTTCCCTCTAGACCTGCCAGTGTAGATGCGGCAAGGGATGGGAGCCAAGGGCAGGCAGTGGGTGCTGTGAACTGTGCAGCTTCCAGCATCTCCTCCTGACCTTCCCAGGCTGACATCCCAGGGGATTTCCAGGGAGCCCTAAGTGCATTTTACATTGTGTGATTAAATTACTGTCATGCCATGCTCTGTTCCCTTCCCATCTGGCCTCCCCTGGGGCCTTGCTCCGTCCCTCGCCCTCTCGCTGGAAGCTTCTGTCTTCCCATGGCCCCTCTCTCCAACCCCACCCTGGCTGATAAGAAAGTCAGAGTCTTATCTATGCTCAAAAAGCCTCTCCTTACACAGAGGGCTTTTAGGGCAGTGAAAATACTCTCTGTGATACTATAATGGTGGATACATGTCATAATACATTGGTTCAAAACCATAGAACGTACCCACCAAGCATGAACGCTAACGTAACCTATGGGCTCTGGGTAATAATGATGTGCCAGTGTAGTTTCATCAGTTATAACAAGTGTACACTCTGGAGGGGGACGTTGGTAATGCGGGACGTTGTGCATGCATGGGGGCAGGGGGGTTATGAGAAATCCCTTTATCTTCCTCTCAACGTTGCTGTGAACCTAAAACTGCTCTAAAAAAGTTGTCTTGAAAACGAAAGCCTTAGCTGCTCCAGCCGGCTCCTGCCGGCTCCTGCCGTGTTTCTCTCCCTTTCTTCACCACCAGGCATTTCCAAGAAGTGACCAACAGGTCTGGCCTCTACAATCTCCCGTCCCGCTCACATCAGCCATCTGACTTTGGCCCCCACCACTCCACACATACCAGTGACTTCCCTGTGCCAAAGCCAGGGGTCACTGGCCCCCTCTCTAGCTGACCACACCCTTCCCTGGCCTTCTGAGTCTCTTTCTTCTCCTCTTGTCCCCCAGTTCTAGGTCCTGGATGGCAAAGTCTGCTTCATGCCACTTAGAATGCTTCCTGGGCAGAGGTGGATCCTGGCTTCAAAGGGGTGGAGAAGTTGTGTTTGGGAATGGAAGGGCTCTGGGTGGGGGCCTTTCAATTATGGCTAGCCCCTGGACAAGAGGGAGATTCAGGGAACTGGGGAGATATCTCCCAGGCAGGACAGCTGCCCCAGCAGGCCCAGCAGACATCACCCAGGTAGCCCTGCCCTCCTCGCACTTGCTGCCATTTCACAACTCCTTCAGCCCGAGGAGCCCCCGGGGCCTGCCAGGGAAGTTGCTCTTGTCCTATGTCCCGGCCCAGGACCTCAGAAGGCCCGCTCCCCAGGACCCAGCCAGCCTCATGCCCACTCACTTCAGGGACCTCCCGGGGTCAGGAGCAGCTCTGTGCACCAGAGAGAAGCATGCTGGGAGAGGGCCTGGCCTGGGAACCTCTAAGGATGTATTCCCCAGCTGTGGGCCACTGTCTGGTTATCTTCCCCATTCGTTCATTCGGGAACCAGCCCTGCAGCAGCCCTCCAGAGGCTTGCCTGACCTTCAGCATGGCTATAAACAGCACTTGCTGTCAGCACTGCTAGGTGCTGCCCAAGAAACAGCACCATGGCCTCAAAATTCCAGGAACTGCCAGTGCAGCTGCCCCAGAATAATCTCAGCCTGTCCCCCTTCCCCTCTCGGGGACCCTCTGTCCTCTGTGTCGCCACCATAGCCAGGAGAGTCTGACAAATACTGGAACCGAGAACAGCAAAGGGGCAGAGGTGAGCCTGCTGGGCCTGTGGGTAAGGCCGTAAGAAGTGGAGGCCTTGGAGCAGAAAGGCAGGACCCCCCTGGGCCCAGGCTCAGTTCCACCACTCCCCCATCCTCACAAGCAGCCCATGTGGAAAAATAGGTGTATTTTCATAAGTGCACATTAGAAAGAACTCTCATGTGTACTTTTACCAACGTACCATCCCCATTTTACAGATGAGAAAACTGAGGCTGAGCAGGTGAACTGACTTTTCTAAGGTGACACAGCTGTGAGTAGCAGAGCCAAACAAAAGCGTACGTCGCCGCCATAAAGTCAAGAGCTGCAACTCGTGCGCCAAGAGGCAAGGCCCCAGACCGTGGCCCTGGCCTCAGGCCTAGCTGCCCGACAGGGGTGGAGGCTGGGCCTTTGGAACTGTTCCCTCTTCGGCTGCTCCCACCCTTCCCCACTTCCTGGAGGACTGGCTGGGATTGGGAGAGGGTGGGGGTGGGAGGGCAGCTCATGTTGCAGGCCCAGCCACACCTGTCCAAGATAAATAAAGGCATTTCCCCTCCACCCTCCGAGTTTCCCTCCTGAACCTATTTCTATGTGGGTCCTCAGGCTGAGACCCACCGACGGGAGGACTTGAGGGGCTGTTACTGCCCCAAGGTTGATTCTGTGGGGCTGGTGGGCAGGGTGGGGTGGGTACAGGGGCTACCACCCAGGCTGCACGTGGCCAGCCTTCTTACAGGAGGAGCTGCAGCACACAGGGGACGGCCCCACGCAGTGCTTTTCTGCTAGCCCCTAGCCAGAGGGTGAGGAAGCAGGCATGGGGTTACCAAGGTCACAGGAGCTCATGAGCAAGTTGGAGCCTCAGTTTGCCTGGCTCTGAAGTGAGATGCCAATCCCAGACCTGCCTGCCTGCCTACCTGCCTCAGGGTTACAGTACGTGTGCCCAGGGGTGCCGGCCCCTGCTGAGAATGAGCCGGCCCCGCCTTTGCGAGTCCCACCACCACAATACGCCACTACTGCCCTGTCTCAAAGATTCGGGCCAGGACATCTACTGGCCCTCTGTGGGAAGCAGGTCAGAGCTGCAGTGGAAATAGGATTCTTCCAGAGAGCTCTGGCCTTGCATCCCCTTAGGGGAGAAGTTCCTGGTGCAGAAGGACTTCCAGCGCCCCAGCAGGAAATACCACAGCCCTGTTGGGAGGGCAGGCCTAGTGCCCCGAGGCCTGCCTGGCCAGCAACGCTGAGCCTGGGCCGCCTGAGCCCAGGGTATCAGCAGCACGCCAGAGGACTTATCAAGAGGCTCCAAGCCCTGGGAAGGTCCCAGCACCCAGTCCAGCTGGTTCCATGGCCTCAGTGATTTGGAGGCATGCCCCTGAAGGGAACTGAGAGACCCATCCCCTGATGCCCTGCCTGAGCTGCGGGTTCTATTTTTAAAAGTCCCCCCTAGTCGTTGGCTCTAGTACATCCCAATACACCCCCTGCCTACAGTGAGGACATTCTTCCTGCTGTCTGTCTAGCTTAAGGCCTCTGTGCTGCAATTTAAGCCCTGGGCTGGCTGGGGCCAGGTGGCGCATAGAACCCGGATGAGGTCATCGGCTATCCTGGGTGCCACTGAGCCGGGAGGCTAATTTCCACCAGCAGGGATGGGGATGGGAGCAGCAGGTGGAGGCCTTGAGGATAGTGGGGCTGGGGGAGATCTAGGCTTAGTCCCAGGCGTGGGAAGCTGGTGGACCCATGAGAGTGACGGTGGAGGGTCCTGCCTTGTACAGGGAGGAGACCTGTAACCAGGGGTGTGGGGAGCTGTGAGGGCAGAGGGGGTGTGTCTGCTGGGGCTCAAATGCCCCTGTGTCTCCATATCATCAGACTGAGTGTGTAAGTCTCTGGGTGCCCTTCTAATATGGGACCCTGGGGTCTCCAGGGCAGTGGGTCTGGAGACTCAGGTTGGAATAAGCCAGACCTTCAGCAG